ACTTCTAATGACAAAGGCAAACAACCTGAAGTTCCTATACCACCAGTCAAAAATTATGGTGAAGACGAAAGCTTTGACACTACAGAAAACTTGCTTGGAACTAACGGCAATACTAATATTATTAACTTTGCCTGTGAAGACGACTTTCCCCTTTTCTTTGCCTACTGCGCCAGTGAAAATTTTTTTCCCGAACACACAAACAAAGAAAAAATCAATCTGACCAATGAAATTTTCAATGGACCGCATCTACCATCGTTCATTGGTGCATCGGTTAGACCACACCCGAACAACAAACAGATGAAAATTAATAGAATCGGTTTCTCAACTCGTGCTGACTTCGACCATGTTACCACAATGCAAATTACCCAATTAGGCAATGAGACATTCTAACCATTAGTTATTGAAAAATTAGCCAAATTCACCCCTGATTTATCAATCAAAATTATGGAGATCCCAATATCCACACCAGCCCAAAATATCAGATCGTTATTCTCCTTTTTTGGGAAGATTACACATTGTATCATGACCACAAAAAATTTACGGTAACAAGCCACACTCACATTTGAAGAAGGTACTGATATGTCACAATTGGACCAAGTGCACGGATACTTTGTGTTCAAAGATATGGTTAGAGTACATCGTTGCACCCTCGAAAATATGGCCATTAGAGAAAAATCAAAATTTTCACTCAAACTTACTAACCTCCCCAAAGACACGAATGGAAGACAATTGATCCCTATTGGCAAAGCCGTAAACGCCACAGCATTTGTTATACCAAAATCTAAAGCTACTTACCATAATTTACAATATGCAGTTTTCTACTTCAAGAATGACGAAGACCACCAAGCAGCACTGAATGGAGATACCATCTTCTTGGATCACAAGAGGCTAATTTGGACAGATCCGGCTAGCAGACTTTGCTTTATATGTTCAGTACCAGGACATCGGTCGGATAACTGTTTGAAAGCAAGACAAACACCCAAAGATAGACAAATGCAAAATCTCTATCAAAGATATCAACCAGCACAATTCAAGAACTATACTGCGCCTAACAAACCCGTTTCAAAGTCGATTACGTTCACTCATATGACTAATAACGGAAAGGGAAAAGTACAAGAGACCCCCCAACCAAAATCAAAAAAGATTTTGCCACGTCCACCTATCAATAATAGTAGACCAAATGGGGAAAATTCTCTCAACGCAAGCATTCATGCAACGAACGATTGGGCAGATGAATCAGAATACCTCTACCCAAATTCTAAAGGTTACGCTAAACCCATTAACGATATCAATGACCACGAACAATTTGATAGAATGAACATTCTAATGACTAAACTAGACATAGTCTCAACACAATTAGGTCGTTTCCATGAAGATCTACAATTCACCAATGAAAGAGTTTCTACTATGGAATCCCCTTCTTAAAATATATTCGACTTCTCCAAAACAAGCTGCCATCATCAATGTTTAACCTACAGGTGAAAATATGGAAGAAGAAGAATACATTGTATGACCTGGTATAGATATATCTGAATCTGTAATCAATACACAAAAAATCGATATTAAAACCCTCCAAGATAAAAATCTACATCTTAAACGCAACCTGCAAACAAATGTCGATAAACTGAATGAGACCCTTAAAGTGGTAGACATTATGCAACACCTAATGATCAATGCAGGACAACTACATGACAGTCATCGTATTCCGGTCGCTATGTTAGAAAAACCTAAAGATTTTTATGATGTAGAAGAGGAATCCCCACCCCAACAATCCCAATTTTAATTATGAAT